GGTTGTATACAATCAGAGAATGATAAAATTTATTGCTCCCAGTCCTGTTGAAACCGTAAGTAGATATGTCGGCCTTATGCGATAAATTTGTGAATATAAGGCGAGCGAACGACCACCAACCACCAGAACATCTTTTGTTCACGCACGACATCTTGGCTCACACCACAGATAAGACAGTATTTTCCCTTCTAAACTAACAGTGATATTTGCACAAAAATGAACTAATTTCACGTTCCGTAATTCAGTAGAAAAGACGGCTGCACTACATTCCGACGAAACGTCTTCCAAATTGACTCACATTAGTCGTCCACCGCCTTTTTTGGTTCGGCTATGTCATTCACTGTCGCAGAAGACAAAGCTTTTTCAAGATGGTCCCATACGTAATAACCAGGCGGGTTTAAGTCAGGAGATCTTATGGGACGTAAATCAAAGACAAACTGACCACAAACCAATACGTAAATAAACATGTTTACTTCTTTCGTTTGTATTTTTTATCGTGCATAGAAGAAGCACTCAGATTAGTTCCATGTAATGCATTCATATGGACCTGTCGTCAGACAGAACACTAAATAATAATAATAATAATAATAATAATAATAATAATAATAATAATAATAATAATAATAATAATAATAATAATAATAATAATAATAATAATAATAATAATAATAATAATAATAATAATAATAATAATAATAATAATAATAATAATAATAATAATAATAATAATAATAATGCAGAAACACTCTGTGCAGAATTCATTACACTTTGAAGTTCTTTTCAAACAATCTTCGAAGTTCTGCAAGTTCCACTTAAATACATATATATATTCGTCTTCCAAACTGCACGTCCTTTCTGTGCTTTTTCACGTTCTGCACTTTTTCTTATTATTAATTTTTTCCGTCCATGTTTTCGTATTCATCCTCTCACTATATTCATTCTGCGTCCCATGCATGAACTGCAAGGGGAGAATTCATTATGGATTAGGCGTGTCCGTCCGTCCAAATAATTCAAACCCTGACCAACTTTACAATTTGCGATTAAATTTGGTATGAAGGATGTGCTGTTGCGGTCTACCTTTTAATCTGGAGGAACTTCAATTTCCTAAAAAATTATAAATTATAAAATTGTGAGTTTGGAATTTTGACAAATTTGAAGTTGAGGGAATTTTTATCTTGAAGAATTTTCCAATTTTGAATATTGTATTTATAATGTAGTTTCGTTGAGCTTTCTTTACTTCGGTGAGGTTTTCTTTCTTGTTAGATTTTGTGTGGTCAGGCTAAACTAAGTGAGGATAGAATAGATTAGGTAAAGTTGGGTTACTCTGGGCTAAACTTCGGTCGATTACGTTAGGTTATGTCAGCTTAGGTTTGGTTATTTAATGATCGATTTTGTTTGTATCGGTCTCAATTAAGACATGTTAGATTGCGATGAATGTTGAGATTTCAATTTTAAAATCTGTAAATTTCGAATATGAGAACTGACTAGATAATGATTTTTCGGTATTACAAATTTAAAAACTTTCGGGCCTTTAAACTGAAAATGAATATATACTTAATAATTTAAAACTTTATTTCGTTTCAAATTTTGTTCCATTCCTCATTATAAAATTGTTTGTTTGGAAGTTATAAAATTTTCTAGGCGTGCAAACTTAAATTTTGGAGTATCAAGTATTGAAAATTTTAAATTTAAGACAGTACTATGCCAAACAATTCGAACCTTTTGAATTTATATACATTTCGATTTTGAGAAATGTTTATTTTCGGGAAATTTGTAGATTTTAAGTCAGTGAAGTCTTAGAACTGTGAAAACAGATTTTACAAATTTTGTAATTTTCGAAATATTGTAAAGTAAGTTCAGTCTAATGTTAGACTTATAATCTTCGAATTTCTGGTAATGCCACAAGTTATAAATACGGGCACCACCGGGAATCGATCCCGGGACCCCAGGATTACAAGCCCAGTGTTCTGATCGCTAGACCACCGTTGCGGCACTGTAATCAGCACACAACAGCAGATTCATGACAGAAGCCTCAACGATACTGTTTTAATGAATGGACGAGGGTGACATCTGTCTGTGTGGAAACGAGGCCGCCGAGGTGCGCATCAGAAGACCTCGGATGATGCACGAGTGATTAGAGATCGGCGGTGGGATATTGTGTGGTCCAAACGAAGGACTCAGAAAGAAACAATGTTTCAGAACCACTCTGCCAGTGACTGGCCGCATGAGCCATTGCACGGCCCATTAGATACAATGTGGAATGTTTCCCTTTGTTACAGGTCCCTCGCTCTCATTTTCAAGGCCGCAGAAATGAAGATTTTCGTATGCTTTGTCCTTCTGTGCTGCTTTATGTCGGTAATGCTGGTAAGCAAAGCCTTAATCTACAAAATATAATTTCTGTCCACCGTCGAAAGCTTAGCGTTCAATAATGTGTTTTTTCATAATGAAAAATCATGAATGATTTACATGTGCTTCGTGTTTGCCCCGTCCCGTGCCGTAGCCGCGCGGTCTGAGGCATCATGCTTCGGACCGGCGATACGGAATGCGCGCTGGTTCGAGTCTCAGGTGAGAAAAAATTTTCTCATGAGCTTTCGACCAGTGTATGGGACCGGTGCCAACCCAGCACAGTGAGGAAATTGGGGAGCTACGATGAGTAGCGTAATCCGGTCAGGAAAGCTAGCAATGGCTGGGGGTTCATCGTGCTGACCACACGTCACCATACATATGGTTGGATGATCGTTCACCTCTGCTTAGGCATGTGAACGTGAGGCCAGCAGTCAAGTTAGTCGGCTTTGGCTCTCTGGAGCTGTTACGCCACTGATTGATCGGATTGGATTGTGTCTTCCCCATGGATGCAGCATGGCCACCAATAAAACTTGCTTCCTTCAACCTACTCCATTAGCTGTGTAGTCTGGTCGATATTAACCAACGTTTCAGAGGTCATACTGCCTCCGTCATCAGGGCGATAACGATATTCATCGCCCTGATGAAGGAGGCAGTATGACCTCTGAAACGTTATTAACATGGACCACACAACACAGCGCAACAACCCAGAAGACGGAAATCTTCATACTCAACACTGTGAGAACCTCAAGTCTTACCTATTTACATGTGCTTTGTGTACTCCATTAGGTAATCTAAGAATACCAAACCAAATGAAGATGAAGTTTATCAACTTCCTTTGTCACGAGGGTCTGTCATCACTCTATGACGCCCTGCAATGACTTTCGATAAATGTCTAGTGCTAAATGTGTTGCATTCCAAATGCAAATTTGTGTGATATTCTGAAAATTCACGTTAATTGTTTCAGGAGCCGCAATTTACTACACATCACACGGGTAAGTGAAGTTCATTATTATTTTCTATTATAATCCAGAAGAATGCTGTAACCAAATAAGCCTACATCCGTGTAACTGACTGCAGTGTGAAGTACCTCGACTCGACAGGAGTCGGTCTCAAGCGGCCTTTTCGATCGCTTTAAGTTGTTTGATCCAGAAACTAAATTTTTAACGATGACTGGCCACACATGCCCCCGTTTTAATACATTACATAAGTTTCAAATGCATGTTAAACACCTACTTGTGCGTCAATGTTCGTATCTTACATAAAGCGGAAGTGTGATTTAATGAAATTGGCATTTGTGTGCGCTTCTGGGATAAAAGTTGAAACCCTTTACAAACTTATCATTTATAGACCAAAATACAAATCAGTAAATTATTTATTAGCAGAATAAAAACAAAACTCATATTCATATCAAAATGTAAACTAATGACAGAACAGAATAATGAATCAGGAAACGAGACCCGTGAACCTGTGTCAGCTGGTTGCCCCCCTCCCCACTTTCTAAGCCAGAAAACAAACCAGAAGTACAGGAGGAGACCAGGGCACACTCTGATGGGGAAAAAGCTAATATTAGGACAGGGTGGTGCAAAACAAAGGAAGGAAGGTACACGATGACACAAACGAAAAATCACACAATGAAAAACAAACTGTGTATTCTTTTGACGTAAATACGTCTATATTTTAGGGTTAGTGTCATTCGGCAAAAAGTGGAACGAAAAAGTGGAACGAAAAGTGTAACAATGGTTTATCAACAAGTAAAAAACAATGGTTACCTAAGGAACATCTATTTACTCGGCATTTTTGTTACCTATAAAACATTTTATTACATTACCTTAACTTACCTTACATTACATTACATTACATTCAGCTACCACAGACCCATCTCAAGCGTAACTAATTCAAGTTAAATAAGCAAAGTCTTAATCAAACTTATCACAATTGTAAAACATGTACAAAGGAAATATTTATAATAAAGCCAATATATAAACTTCCTTTCCGTATAGACGTATTTACGTCAAATTCTCCGGAACCGTGGTTCCACTATCACTTTTAAACTTAGGTATTAACGATTATGTCCGCCCGTCAGATGGCTTCGTAAACGTAGTCTGTACTTCTTAGTGCAATTAACTGAGCTGGCAGTCCTCAGTCGATCAAGAAAGTCTGTTGTATTATATAAACCGAGTGTTAATTAACAATAGAACAGAAGTTCGCAAATGCATCTTCGCCCGATCAATCCAGTCTACGTCACCTACGTAAGTAGAAACGTCTAAATCAATCATAGTTAATAAAAAATCCCAACAATGTAAAAGATAATGAGCCACTTTCACGATTATTGGCAGTGTCAAGAGGATCTTGACTACACAAAATCCACACATCATCTTCCCTTTACCCTTTTCTCAATATGCAAAAAATTCTAAGCCCTGTTTAACCCGACTTAACTTAGCCTACCCTACCTTAACCTAACCTAACCTATGTTAACTTTACCTAGCCTAACATAGCCTAGCCTAACCAAACAGTTCTGACAACATTTTTGGTATCCCCACTGCCTACTTAACATTTTAAAAAAGCCTCAATGTATATTTTACACTTTCCAACAGAAATTGACGGCACCTATGACTGTCTGCAGGAGAATCCTCCCGATTACGGAGAGTGCCACAAAGAGTGTTCGAGACGGAAATATACTGTCGGTGGGTGCAGCGAAGGGAAATGTTTTTGCCTTTTAATCGGTTAAAAAGTGTCGGTGTGAAATTAAAACAATTTGTCGGCCGAATTCTGTGAAGTTAATTTGTGTATGTTGACAAATAAAAGCATAGAAGCGAATACAAATACATTAATTTATTCTCTTGGTTCGGCTGTTGATATGTGCACTACCTATCCCTTGCCACGTTTAACTTTTCTGGGTTTCCTTGGTCCCAAGTTTTACCTACAGAAGCGTCTTCTCGCGTGACTGTGGAAATAAGAAAGCGACATACATATCCCACAAAGCCCGAAGCGCATTGGTTGAGACAATGAACGTCGTTTCCTTCTTCGGGACGTAAAAAATTAGAAATTTGACTTGGCCGCCGCTTCAAATCTCACCTTCATGTACGCCTTAAACTTCACTTGTCAAATAGGCCTTGGACCAAGAAAGCCAAACACGAAGGTGAGGGCGGAGTCCACCACAAGAGTAGGCTATCGTCCCTAGAATGTTTAGCCATTCCTGCGTAAGAAATAACTTGCTGGAAATGTTAAACCGAGCCTTAAAAATTTAACGGGGGTGTGATGCAACCAACCAATCAAACACCTTCGAAGACGTCGGCCCCGTTGCAGCGTCTTGCACTGTCTCAGTATTAAATGGGGGTTAGAATAAAATAAGATAATTTATACTCCCAGGCCAAGAATGTAGAACATGTCAGAGCACAAATAGAATTATTTATTAAAGAAATGTGTACCTTAGAATTGATCAATGCATCAATTAAAGAAGGCATCTTCCCATCTGCATTAAAAAAATCAGTTGTTAAACGAATTTACAAAGAAGCGACGAAAGAAGATTCAAACAATTATCGACCAATTACTCTTGTTCCAGCTCTTTCAAAGGTTCTGGAAAAGATAATAGCTAATCAGCCAATTTCTTTCTTAGATAAACACGATATACTTAATAAATCTCAGTTTGAATTTAGGAAAAATAAATCTTCAAATGATGCAATTGCTGCAATCATTGAAAATATAATTGAAAATCTGAATAATAAAATAAAGTGCAATTGTGTACTATTAGATTTATCAAAAGTATTTGATTGTATTAAACATAACATCCTCATATGGAGTTCGTGGCACACCACAAAGCTAACCAAATCCTATCTCACAAACAGAACACAACAAGTAAAAGTCTCACATGTAGGAAACAATCAAATGAAAGAATACTTGTCAAGTAGCCTTCCAGTTAGATATAAAGTTCCTCAAGGTTCTGTCCTTGGTCCATTACTTTTTATTTTATATGTAAATGATATTAAACATCTAACACAAGGCAGAATAATAATGTACGCTGATGACACATCAATATTGAATATTGGTCAAGGTATAAATGAACTCCAAAAAGTAACCTTAGACAATACAGGCTTAATAGAGGAATATTTTGAAATAAATAATTTATCTATAAACCCAACTAAAACACATTACATTCTTTTCTGGACAAAACAATGTAGGCAGGAAAGCAATCTAAAAATTTTAATAAAGAACAGGGAAATAGTTAAAATAAAAAGTACTAACTTCCTGGGGGTTGTGATTAATTGCACCCTGAGTTGGGAAGTACATATTTAAAGAATGTGTAGTAGAATTAGCCGTAACCTATTTAAAATTAATAGACTCTCTAGAATACTTAATCTAAATGAAAGAAGAATATTGTATTATGGTTTTATTTATCCCTTTTTTGTCTTATGGAATCGTCGTATGGGGGCCAGATTGCTAAAGTACTCACTCGACGAACTTTTACTCTTCAAAAAAAGGGCATTAACTACACAGCAGGTTTAAAACGAAAGGAATCATGCAGAGATAGTTTTAGGCATTTAAAAATATAAACAATATACTCGTTATACATTCAAGAAACCATTTTATATGCGAAAGAAAAGTGTGTCTGCACTGTAAACAAACAAGTACATACATATAACACAAGAAATAATAATGACTATCAAAAATATGTATATAAGTTAGAAGTTTATAATATAATAGTAAACCGTCAGTAGCAGGTTGTGTCTTCTATAACAAACTGCTACCATAATAAAACAAATAAGAAATAACAATCAGTTTAAGAAGGAATTGAAGGAATTTCTTATTAGGGGGTGTTACTATTCACTAGAAGACTAACTTAATGAAGTATTTTCGAATATTGGCTACTGATAATCTAATGTATAGAATGTTATATCTCCAATGGGAATATATCCTTTACACACGCCAGGGAAACACCGG